TGCAAATCGCACGTAACGTGGTCATGTATACCTAGACCTACCAAGGAACAAAAACTTTGTCCAGTTATCCATCCTAGGCGATATACGCACCCTAACTATGATCCTGAGACTCAAGCTCATATTATGGTACCATAAAGATAGATAGATATATATATATAAGTCCGTTCAGGGTATGACATTCAAATGTTTATTGACCTGTCATATATATAAGTAGGACTTAACTGTTATAGTTAATCCACCTTACTTCAGAAAAGGTAGGACTTAGTGTTTTGAACTAATCCATCCCCAGAATAGGTAGGTCTTAGTGTTTTGAACTAAGCCATCCCTAATATGCCACCATCCCATACCAGTGCATATACATATATATATAAGTAGGACTTAACTTTTATAGTTAATCCAACTTATTCCAGAATAGGTTGGACTTAGTGTTTTGAACTAATTCGTCCTTAGTATGCCACCGTCCCATACCGGTACATACATACATAACAAATCCAACAATTAACAAAACAGAACAAGCAGTTTATCAATTATAATCTAGAACAATATAATGATACTCACAATTATTACTGAGCACATTATAATGAAATTCTAAAACGTAAATTTCATAAAAATCCACAAATCCAACAATTGATGAAATCCAAATAGTTAAAACATCAATTAACTCCATATAAGCATACTACAGTTTCAGATAGTCAATTATGCTTATTACAGTGCTTAACCATGATTAATACTGTTTAATCATATGTAAACAAATTGCTAGAATTTTAGTAAGCAATTAAATCTTTCAATCAGTCAATAAATTGATATAGTTTATAATATATTAAAAATATCAATTTAATCCAATCCAAGCACAGCTATTTTCAGATAATCCCTTACACTTATAACACTGTTAGAATATGATTAAATATTATGAAATTATATACAAAAGATTTGCTAAGTTTCGATAAGCAAATAAATTAACAGAACAGTATTCCACTTGTAGGCTTTTCTTTCACTTTATGTTGCTCCATTCCTTAATACATTAATGCGATAATGCTTCCTAATATTTTCATAGGTCCATCACAGCTATTTATATCCTTCAGTGCAATTTAAACAATTTACAAATACTCCAGACAGCCCAAACAGCTCCAAAAAAACCAATTCTTATCGTTTTAGCGCGAGAGTAGGCTCTTAAAAGTTGAGAGCCAGCTCTCCCCTTATGATAGCCGGTTCCCCACCCTTGGGAACCAGCTCTAAAGAGCTGGGAGCCGGATCCCTCCATGTGGGAGCCGGCTTTGACAGTGAGGGAGCTGGCTCCCTCCTTTTGGGAGCTGGTTCTCTCTCCCTTAAGAGCCGTAACTTATTTTTTGTTCGTCTTCTTTGCCTCCGGCGATGTCCACACCCTCTGTATTACTTTATTTAAGATTCCTAGGGTTCAATTTATGTCCCAACAGTTCCAAAAATTCATAGAAATTCATTATGCATCGTTAACAAGAATTTAAACCTAATCTGAAACAATTGATTCAATAATTCAATTTCAGTTAATCAATACATAGAGATAGTTCAACGACAGAATTGCCATGCATAAAATATCCATTTTTAAGTTTGATTAAGTCCTAAAGACTATCTAGGCATGCACAGAACACAGGTTTAAGGGAATGAGTTAGAATAGGAACTTGCCTTCAGTTTCAATTTTGAAACCTTAAACCATCGTCTTTGAGTTTTCCGACAGATTCCCGATTGCCGTTCAACAACTCCGTTGCTTTTGGTTCAATCCAGAACCAATCCCTTCCTTCTCCTTTAGCCTTCCAGGTTATCTCTCAAGACCCTCTCTGTTTTCCTCTCAAACTTCCCTCTGTGCCCTCTCTGTTTTTCTCTACCTCCAGTCACGGGAAAAGGGTTCTAAAACCCTTGCAGACATAAAACTTATATATATATATAGGCTTTTATAAAACCTAATCCTAATTCTAACCTAATTATAAGGCGGCTAACCTAATTACACAAAATAAAATCCTAAACTATTTATGATGTAAATAATTTATAAACAAATGACTAAACAAATTACATCAACCAAAATATACATGTAACTAACACAAATAAATCATATAAGCTATTAAATAAAATACGTCAAGTAAATCACCAATTAATCAAAGAATTAATTTAAATAAACAATTAAGTTAAAATAAACAAACAATTATAATAAACAATTAATTTAAATAAATACACAATTAACCAATTAAGCAAATAAGCACATAATTTAATAAAAATGCAATAAAATCCTTAATTAAAATACCAAAGCCATCCTTTTAAAAATAGGGGTATTATAACTATTTATAGCCAAAAAAATACTTGGTGTCCAAGTATATTACAAAGCTTGCTTTGAAAGCCAAATAGCACTTGCTGCCCAAGAATAATTCTTGTTGCCCAAGAATTTCAAAGCTTCCTTTGGAAGCTTTACCATCACACTTCTGTAGCCAATAGATTTTTGTCATGTCATAAATGAATTTTGGACAAATTTCTAACATATTCACATTAGCCAAATGATAAAATTTTCAGGCAAAAATGATTATATTGAGCCACATATATCGCCAATAAAGCATGCAAGCTTCCCGAAGGAGAAAGCTAGCTGTCGGATTTTTATTTTTATTTATTTTTTAAGGGTAACGATAGCTCATTCAATTTGATGACGTTTGTTCAAGAGATTGTAAGGTAAATTTTATATATCTTTTGAGCTATGAAGCACGGACACTCTTCCCAAGGGTTCCGTACCAGTGTCGGACACTTTTCGGACACCGACACCCATGTCCAAGGCTCGGACACGTGTCCGACACTTCTGTGAAGTGTCCAGAAATTATTTTTTATTGGACACGGCTCGGACACGCGTAGGACACGGGGTGGACACGGCTTGGACACGCGGGGGACACGGCGGGATATATTTTGTAATTTTTTTTTCTTAAAGATAAATGGGGTACCTAATGTAATTTATTAATTTTAAAAGTAAAATTTTGAAAAAATGAAAAAACAACTACAGATAACAGAGTATTATGCAGAAAATTTATTTTCTCTCACTTCCTCTCTCAGTCTCTCCTCTTCTTCAATTATCTCTCTACATGGACACGACATTTTTTTTTTAAGTTACATGAACAAGACTTTGTGAAATACTGAAAGTATATATGTTAATTCATGTACATATTTAGTTCATTATAGCTTTGTCTCTTCTGCACATCTTCGTTTGAAATTTGGATCAACTTTATTTTTCATTTATTTTCTATTTTGTCTTGTCTATGTTTTTCTTATAATAGAGATGAAATTATTGAAATTGGTCATGTTATTTGTTATTGTTTTATTTGTAATTTTTTATTTTTATATACCTGTTTGTTATTAGGAAAATGAATGTGCAAGGTTCTAATAATTATATTTTGAATATATATATATATATATATATATATATATATATAATTTTATAGGTGTATCCCCGCCGTGTTCGTGTCCTATTTTTTTGAAATTTACCGTGTCACCGTATCCGTGTCGTATCGTACCCGTGTCCCGTGTCCGTGTCCGTGCTTCATAGCTTTTGAGCTATGATGTTTTTTTCCGCCACATGAGAGTTGAGTCCTAGAGATCGGGGTTTATGACTCGCCTGAAGAGACTCCTTAATGATTGGGACACTCGTGCGGGTTAAAAATTATTTGTAGATGTGAAATTTGAACTTTTTTTAACCAAATGTTTAATTTTCTTTTGGGTTTCATAAGTTGTACATAATCACAAATATATTCAATTCTCTATATCATTCTCTCTCATTTCTTTATTATTATTATTATTATTATTATTTTATCTAGCGAAATATTTAGTGCTCTAAGAAAAACATTGACATTTCAGTATTTGTAGAAGTAATAGGCATGCTTAGTTTAGTTTTTTAAAACAATTCGATCTCAAAAATTTAGAAAACAATAATTCTCAAGAACAAACAATTCAAACTTGATTCAATAAAAGCTCGGTTTTTATCTAGTAAGCAAACTAAACTCAAATAGTTTTCAAAACTCATTTAGTAAATAAACCAATCTCTAACAATTATTAGGCCAGTTTGTTAATTTGTGAATATGTTCGCCAAGTAAGCTTGTGAACTCAATTCATAAACAAGCTCGTAATTAGAGCTCAATTATTTATTTTATATTATATATAATAGTATATAATATAAAAGGTTAAATTCACAAAACTCCAGTGTACTTTCAATTTTTTTTTTTTTTTTTTAAGCATTTTACCCCTTCTACTATCAAACCACCATTGTACCATAAGTTTCATATGAGGACAAACCGTGATGCAAGCAGTTGTTGATAGATGAAATTACTAAAACAACATTACTTTGTTTAAATAAATTTAGGGGTAAGTTTTACAAACACCCCCTATATTATTATTTTTTGACACTCTACCTCTTATATTATCAAACCACCCCTATGAGTGCATACTATACACAAATATAATTTTGTATTTAGATAGTTTATTAATTACAAAACATTATAAATTATTGTTTATGTTTATAATAATAGATTCTATAGTTGGCAATGCTAATATATTATTTATAATTTTTTTATACATATTAGTTGATAGTAAAAAAGTTAATTATAAATTAGGGTAACGTACAATGACACCCCCTGAGATTTAGGGTAAGGACAAACAGATACAAGTTGGCTTATTTTTGGACAATGACACCCCTGATGAGATTTGCAATCCAAACATAGCCTAAAAATATGTAAAAAGTCTACTTTACCCTTCATTATTTGATTAATTTTAATAGTTAGATATCAAAATAATTAAAGGACTGAATTACCCTTTTCCTCTCTCTCTATATATACTATACCCATATTTGTTTGGACAAAAATAACCACACTAGACCATGCCACATCATAAAACATATGGGCACTAATGTAATCTTAGAGCACTGCCATCTGAACTCCAAAAACCCGATCCCTGGCCTCTCTTTCTCTCAACACTTTCTCTCTTTGCTTTAAATCATAATAACTATGGGGATGGCGGCGGTGGTTGTCTGCAATGGGGATGACGGCGGTGGTTGTCGACTATGGGGGATGGTGGCAGTGGTTGTCGACTATGGGGAAGGTGATTGTTTATAGGGATGATGGCTGTGGTTGTTATGTACATGGTAGGGAATGGTAATGGCAGTGGTGACGTCTATGGCCTCTTCCACTGCCATTGTCAGACCTGAAACAGCTTCCGACCCAGCACGCCTTGCAAATGTAAACCCTCGCGTGCGTCGCCAAAGTACTTGACGGAAAGCTTCAGTGATCCTCAGTTTCAGTTCTGGCGACCCATCTCAGTTCGTCAATCTCCACGTCTATGCTATCTCCGGTGACCCTTGCTCGTGACCGAACCCCAAAAATCCATCAGAAATCCACAGACAATCACCGCCATCCTGTGTTATCCTTCTTGCTTACCGTCGATTGAGCACATCCTTGTTAGTTACCGGTGGGTTCTTTAGAGGTTTTTGTTGCCGTCGTTTCACTGTCGTGCTCGCCCCTTCATCGTCGTTCACTTATTGCTTATCAGAACCGCTGCAGGGCTCTGTTGCGGTCGATCTGTGCATGCAAATTTGATCGGCCTTTATTTTTTTGGGGCTTTGTTGTAGCTCCTTCATTGTCGTGGTAGCGACGACTCCCTTATTATCATGGTGGCGGTAGTGAATACACAACGGTAGGTGGTTTCGGGGATGGAGACGATGGTGGGCTTGAGGGATAAGCAGTGGTAGCTTTGTTAGGGTTAGGGTTTCAGAGGGAAAATAGAAGAAGAGGGTGAGGAGAGAGAAACAATAGGTTTTTCAGATGGGTTGCACCCGGTAACCCATTTTGTAATGTCCTGAATTTTTCTGAATTTTTTGATATTTTTTTTTAATTATTTTTTGTTGTGCTGTGTGGGTCCCGAGGGTCGTTTGGGACATTTTCATGAGCTCGGGAGTTTTGGGAAGTATTTTATTTCTTTTAAGCATGTTATAATTTGCAAGATTGATTTTAAAATTTTTCTGATTTGGGACTAACTTTTGTGCCCGGGATTTCATCCCGGTTTTTCACTTTCCATTAATTGTGGCATTTGGTATGTTATATATATACACACACACATATATATGATTATGTGGAAGATACTTAGAGGGTAAAGTGGGAAAGTTGAATAGCAAAGAGGGAAATTTATGTAACTTTTGTTAAAGTAGAATGGACCACAATTTGACACATGGTAAAGGGAGGGCCACATGACCATTTAGAAGACTTGCTAACCCCATTTTTCCTTCTTCATTTTCGGCCCCCTTCTTTCTCTCTCAAGGTTTTTCTCCCTCTTTCTCTAGTCTCTACAACTACAAATATACATATATCTACATATTTCAACTCAGTCTGTGAGCTAGTTAAGGTGGGATTCAAGCTTAGAGCAAAAAAGGCAAACTTGCTTTACTCTTTATTTGGTGATTAGGATCATGAAGTTGTCATGGGGTTGTCGTTTGGCGATGTCAGAGATATTATGAATTGAGGGTGATGGGGAGTTAGTAACGAAAGAGGTGAGTTATATTTTCTATTTCGAACTCCGGTAACGTGAGTTAAGGTTTGAGATGATTTTAAATGAATTAGAGAGTGTTGATCACAGTTTGTAGCAAGCCAGAATGAGGAGTGACCTCTTGGGCTTAGTGGTTCTGTTATATTTGATCCATTTGTTTTGTGGTTTAGCGAGCGTGTGTGCGTGAGTGTGTGCAGGTGGCACCAGAAGGCTACCACACTAGGCGAGCTATAAGCTTATAATTTAAATGAGATAGATGTGGATATTCCATTGGGGTGTACCATGTTCAAGTGATTGGTGGGGAGAAATCTGTGATGTAGATACAAAGGTGTTCGATTAGAAAGTAAGGATTGATGATTGTCTTGAGCTTGTTTTTGTGAAGGGCTTTATGATAGTGGATTGCCTAAAGGTCAATGAGTACGGCATTGTCATGTGGGCATGTCACCCTTTTGGATAAGTTAGTAGTTCATCGTGACAGACGTCGTGGATGTTGTGTGCCTAGTGTGTATGTATAGTTGTGTCACCTCAGAGGTTAAAGGTGCGATTGCATAGCGAGGTGTAGTTGTTCTCATGAGGTTGAGGTTGTAAGTTGGGGAGGAATTCTTCTCTAGATAGGGTAGTACGTGATGTCCCAAGAGACATTATTTTGCTTCTCAGTGTTTGTCGTGTCATGTGTATTGATGTTCTTATGTGGATGTTCCATTGTATGTTGCATTTTAGCATTCGATGCATATGTTACATAATTGATTATTTCATTTCGTATAGGCATGTGGCATTTTGTATGCGAGGTTTCAGTGTTGGGTTTTATGGATTCCCAATAAGAATTGGTGTTGTATGATTGTCGATTTGGGCAGGATCGCCTAGAAGCGGGTCAGGTTTTCACGTGGTTAGGAGTTCTATATGTGTTATCATGAGTGTTAACCTTCCTTAGGTGAAAAGGGTTCAGCTCCACCTTGGGTGGGAGTGGGTGTTCTTGGTTGGTCGTTTAACGAGTATTGTACGACGGAGTATTAGGTTCACCCCAGATTCAGTTGTTGTTAGCTTAGGAGAGTAGAGTTTACTTCCTTTTCCTTTTAATCTAGTCCAGGTGAGGATGTCGTCAGTTGTGAGTCTCGTTTCTTTCCGTAGGAGTTATGTGTGTTGGCAGGCATGTAGGCTCGCATAGAGTCCCCACATAGTTGGAGTCTTTGGAAAGGGTTAGATTGGGATCAGTTGACTAACTCCCATAGAGGGAGGTAAGGTCTTTGGTTTCAGTAGCACTTATTTTGAGAGTTGTTGGGATCGATGGAATGTGAGGTGTTGGTTGTATGCTGAGAGGATGACGTAAATGGTTGGTATGAGAGTGTCCTTGAGAACAAGAGAATGTGAGATCCCTTTGAGGAAAAGTTTGTGATGATTGACTCAGATTCTGAATCTTCATGTGTGAAAGTTTCTTATAGAGTTATTTTGAAAGGATAAGAATTGAATAAGATGACGATGCTGCATTCTGTTTTCTTTGCTTCTGGTTTCTTGGAATAGATTGGGGAGTTTATGTTTGTAGTTAGTGATTGTGATATTATGTAACTTTTAGTGGACCTATAATCAAAGGGTTGTTGGGATTTTTAGCATAATGATTGTACCCACGTAGTTGTTGATGGTCACTTGGCATAGTAGGCAGATACTGAATGAACTTCTAATGTCATATATGGGTACGATTATGTGATTTTTTCCTGAGGATTGTATGAGAACGTACTTGGAGTTCAGACCTGAAGACAAGAACGATGTCAGTGTTGGGATTAGATTGATGATGAGAATGGCCTAGCCAACCATTTTTATTGAGTTAGTCTATTCTCAACATAATGTCGGGTCAAAGGTCAATGATTATTTTGTGCGAATGGCAATAGCTAGAGCGGTGCATTGTGTTTCATTAGACTGTGGTTAAATCAGTTCTTTTTTAAGGCAAACCTTGTTGAGAAGTGACAAGTTTTATTCGGGCATAAGATTCGATAGGTTTAAGGGATTTATTCATTGATTGTTGAGGTATATTGTGGAGATCTATACGGTAAGCATTTAATGGTACACCTATGGATAGAGGTGGTCCTTTTTAGAAATGATCATGAGAGAGTTTATCTTCATTAGTTATCTTTGGAAGTCGATGTGTTTATGAGATACTCGACATTGTGGTTGGTAGTTGATTGTGTATCCATTAGGGACTTTTAGTGACACGAGTTTGGGATATACTGTGTAGTCAGGGATCGTATGTATCTTTGGGATGGTGAGTCAATGTTGGGTATAGATGTATCAAGTGGTCTTACGATCACTACCTTGTGTGTATTTGAGGTATTTTGTATGATTGTGTGGTATATATCGGATGTCGAATCTACTTCTTATGTGGAATTCGGCCATCTTTGAGTTGACGTGTTAGATGAGGAGTACTTGGATGGGGTAATAAGTATTAGGTCGCTAGTAACCTTAGGGTGAGACTGTTTCGTTGACCTTCGGGCATGTTGTGTAGTGAGGGTGTTGATGTGGCATCTTCGAGGGATTTTCAAGATTTGTTCTTGAGAAAAAGATTGGTTGGAGTCTTCATCTTAAGGAGAGTAGATTTGAAGGATGAAATCTTTTAAGGAAGGTAGATTGTAATTTCTCAAATTTTTTGGTATTTTTCTTTTAATTATCTTTTGTACCTCGTTTCATGTGCCACGTGGGTCCCGAGGGTCGTTCGGGACATTTTCATGAGCTCAGGAGTTTTGGAAAGGTATTTTATTTATTTAAAGCATGTTATAATTTACAATATTGATTTTAGAATTTACAGCATTAGGGTGTACCATGTTCAAGTGATTGGTGGGGAGAAATTTGTGATGTAGATACAAAGGTGTTCGATTAGAAAGTAAGGATTGATGATTGTCTTGAGCTTGTTTTTGTGAAGGGTTTTATGATAGTGGATTGCCTAAAGGTCAATGAGTGCGGCATTGCCACATGGGCATGTCACCCTTTTGGATAAGTTAGTAGGTCATCGTGACAGACGTCGTGGATGTTGTGTGCCTAGTGTGTATGTATAGTTGTGTCACCTCAGAGGTTAGAGGTGGGATTGCATAGCAAGGTGTAGTTGTTCTAATGAGGTTGAGGTTGTAAGTTAAGGAGGAATTCTTCTCTAGATAGGGTAGTACGTGATGTCCCAAGAGACATTATTTTGCTTCTCAGTGTTTGTTATGTCATGTGTATTGATTTTCTTATGTGGATGTTCCATTGTATGTTGCATTTTTAGCATTCGATGCATGTGTTACATAATTGATTATTTCATTTCATATACGCATGTGGCATTTTGTATGCGAGGTTTCAGTGTTGGGTTTTATGGATTCCCAGTAAGAATTGGTGTTGTGTGATTGTCGATTTGGGCAGGATCGCCTAGAAGCGGGTTAGGTTTTCACGTGGTTAGGAGTTCTATATGTGTTATTATGAGTGTTAACCTTCCTTAGGTGAAAAGGGTTCAGCTCCACCTTGGGTGGGAGTGGGTGTTCTTGGTTGGTCGTTTAACAAGTATTGTACGTCGGAGTATTAGGTTCACCCCCAGATTCAGTTGTTGTTAGCTTAGGAGAGCAGAGTTTACTTCCTTTTCCTTTTAATCTAGTCCAGGTGAGGATGTAGTCAGTTGTGAGTCTCGTTTCTTTTCGTAGGAGTTTTGTGTGTTGGCAGGCATGTGGGCTCGCATAGAGTCCCCCATGGTTGGAGTCTTTGGAAAGGGT